CATCACCATCACCATAATCATCATCATCATCATCATCATCATCATGTTCCTTTCTTGGGTCAACTGCGACAGGAAATGGGCCTGACAGGAACGTGATACTGTGACAATTGCATTTTCAATGCCCGCATGGCAGAGCCCCAGGTGGAAAATGTCCATTGTCAGAAGGATCGGGTGTGTTTGGGCGAGACCCTCGTGACACTTGATGGTTTTGGAGCCGCCATAGCCGGGATCATATATAGGTGTATTTTAGAAGGTATTCTAAGAGGTGTTCTTTTGGCTATAGGGTATACAATCAATCAAGGTATATAGGGAATGTATTACCGTATTTTATATGAATTTCGTTTAGGTTTGCATAATGGGTATTCCGTGAGGTATTCGACAGTCTATTCTCCTTTATTCCCAATTTTTTCATAGGAATCCTTGCTCAATAAGCTACAAGATCTTCGTTTCCTCCTGATTTCCCCTATATATGGGTCCTTATCTCTAGGGTCCTTTTCGGGTATTCCAAAAGGGGGTTCTCAAGGGTACAAACGGGGTACAAACGGTATACAGGCGGTATCATGTATAGGGAGTTTTCTATAAGGTATTCTTGAAACTTTAGACTTTAGAGTATTCCAGATGGTATTCTATAAGGTTCATATAGGGTATATAGGAGAAAACAATGTGTTCTAAGGTAGACAGCATGAAGGTTGAAAGCACAGGGGTCAAGTTACGGCGCAGAACCTTTTTTCCATGGCATGTGTGATGATGTAGAGTGCTCGGAGTAAGTCCTTTTATGTTCACACGCAACAACAGTCCCCTCTGTATTGTAGTTTATAGTAGAAGACAACTAAGATAACCCAAAACGCTATTCAATTTATTTGGGCCGATATAGTAAGGAGCGTTGAGTTCTTCGGGCTTTGCGCCGTTAAGAAGTTCAGGGTCTGCAAGAGGAGCGCGACGATTCTAGTATAGTAGACCCCAAACCCCTGTTCTAATTACACAGGTCCCTATACTAAACCCTTATGGTGGCCCTTATAGAAACCCGTATAGACCCTTATCAGAACCCCTTAAAGGACCCCTGGGGTAAGGGATTCACGCAGGACCTTCAGCTCTTTCAAAGGTCAAAGTCTGGAGGCAGGTGGTTGAGTTTTCAGTTCGTCTCAGATATCAGGGGCCTTGCTGCTTACATGGCTTGAGCGGCGAAGGGTTTGAGAGTTTGGGTGTTGACGAGTGATGGTTCGAGTAATTGCAGTCAGCTCTTATTGAAAATCAGGCGTATCTTCTTAAGCCCTAGCTTTCTGACTCAGTCAGGGCATCAGAGATTTAGGCTTACACATCTTTGGCGATTGCCCTCCGCTTAAGAATCGAAGATCCGAAACCTTAGGATCCTTGTTACACGGGCTTCAAAAAGCCCCGCACTGATAAGTGCTGTATAAGGGTTCCTGGTTTTGACGAATGTGGAAGACTTCACGCTTGCTGAGGTACCTCGTCGAAGCCCTCCTGCGGTGTCACGAGAAGCACAGCACCTATGTCATGCTGCTGCTTGCCTTGCCCAGCATTGGAAGCATACTGAATTCCGACTGGTCACCAAAGCTTTTTCAGATGTTCGGAGTTTCACTTTGCTTCGCACAGCTGTGTGCTGTCGCGGCTTAGTGGGGTGCGTGGGTTTGAGCTGCATGCAACACAGAGGGTTGATGGCATCATCTCGTCAGCCACTTTACTTTTCTCTCAAGTTTGACCGCCGGTGCACCTTCTGTTCTCACGCACTGCAAGCACGTTAGCACTAGGACAGGGACAGACCCCCAGCCGGCCTCACATACGCGACCCGTTTGGGAAATGCAGGGAACCCAGAGAGCCCAATACCCCTTAATTAAGCTATACCTTGAATTCTAAGGGGCTTAATATTACGGTTTAGGGTTTATGGTTTAGTGGTTTAGGGCTTTAGGGTTTTCGGGTTTAGGGTTTAGGGGCTTAATAATTATTCATTATTACGGTTCAAGGTCTATTCCTTCATCAAGGGGTATTGGGCTCTCTGGGAAAGAGTCACCATGCTGCAGACCAGGTCGGACCTCGTCGCGCCGTCTAGCACTTGCTCTCCCTCTATCTAGGACAGTTTCAGGTGGGTAGTTACCGTTATAGGAGCGTTATAGAAGGTCTATATACCTTATAGAAGCCTTATAGAAACCCTATATACCCTAAACTCCCCACCTGTAGTTTCCTTTAACTCTAAGCTTTCAGCGTTCTGCTGGTTCGGTAAAGGGTTCCGTACGGGGTTTTGGGGACTCGACGTCTCGGAGCTTGAGGGTTTGAGCTTAGGCTCTTTTTTTTAGGACTCTGACTTGGGTTGAGGTTAAGGCTTTAGGGTTTAGGGTTTAGGATTTAGGGTTTAGGGTCTAGGGTTTAGGGTTTCGGGGAATCACCTCTAAAAGCTACGTTGCATCCTTGATGAATAGCTCGACTGTCAAAAGCGTGCATAGCCACAGGTTTCTGCCGTTTAAGGCCCTCTCATGGGCGCGACCCGGATTTTACGTGCGCCACTTCCCACAACACAAGTGCTTTTGTCCAGCACAAAACAGAAGAGCCTGGTCGAACTGCATCGAAAAGGGTTTTACTAGTAAGGGTTTAGGGTTTAGGGTTTAAGGGTTTAGGGTTTAGGGTTTAGGGTTTAGGGTTGTCATTATTATTTTACTGCAAGCTACCAAGCCCAGGCATTCAAAAGCGCTGCACCAAATGGACGCAGCTGTGGCCGCAGCGCAGAATTTTACGAAGTGCGATGCTGACACCCAGGCACGAATGTTTGGGGTTAAACCCTCAACCCTAAACCAGCAGACTCTCGAGCTTTGGGTTTCTTGGAGTTTAAGAGGATCAAGATTCAATTAAAAACGCAAAGTAAACCTGATAAATTTCATTGAACCTTGAACCCTAACCCCACGCACCCCTAAGCCCAATAATCTTGAACCCTAGACCCCACGATTAACATCGGTATAGAACCCTTCATTGAAGAACAGAAAGCCATGGCTTCCCCCATCGACTAGGAACTCCCCACAA